CAAGGGAGGATCTCTTTCTAGGTTTAACAGGGATTTCTGGCAGAGCTGTTAGGGCAGATCTGAGAGGGAAGAGAGACTCAAGGCAAGCTGACAGTCAATCCTCCACCGAGGGCGGAGTAATCAATGCTGTTCAGGGGTCCTCCGGCCAGACGGGAGGAAGCGTGTGTTCTTACTATGTAATGTATTATGCTGTGACTTGCCGGTGGAATAGTAACCGGACTGACGCTCCCCAGAATAGAAGGAGCTAGGTCCATAAGGACCTATTTTTGAAAAAAAAAAAAAAAAAAGAAACAAAAAAAAAAAGAAAAAAGAAAAAAAGAAAAAGAATAGGCAATTGTTTTTAAATAAAAAGCAGAAAAAAGCAAAAGAGCCAGATCAGATCAAAATGCTTCACGCAACAATATTTCTCAAAGTGTTACAGCTAAATTGTTTCAATTTGTTTGTTTACGGGTATCCAGTCCTTACATGTACTTGAGCCTTGTCAGACGCGCCAGCTCTGGTGGAACCGCACCACTGAGTTCGTTACGAGAAAGGTTCCTACCAAATAAACGACAGAAAGAATTACTTATTGATCAGCTTGCCAAAACCTTAGTGCTTCTCTTTATTTCTCTCTCCCCTTCTCCACCGCCCCCGTTTCCTGCACCATTCCTAACCCTACAACCCTTTTACATCCATGGAAAGCCCAAGAAGTGTTATGATCCAACATCATCCATAATGCAGAACTCAATTCCGAGAAAATGCAAGACTCCTGAACTCAAAAAGAAGTGGAATGAGAGAAAGAACAGGATAGAAATGAAAGAAGACAAGATGGGCCTTTGAGTTGTTGCACTTCCTTTGTGTATTTCTCTTTCCGAGTGATTTCACTTCAGTTGCAATTGAACGCCATTGTCTTTCTTTGAGTTGTTGCTGACCCTTTTTTTTTTCTTCTTCTCCTTTTTTTGCGGGTTGCCGACAACCCCCGGCCCGTATGTGCCGACCAGCCGACCGGTCGGCTGGCCGGCAGCCGACCGCAGGGTATGCAACACTGTGTCTGTGCCTTTTCTGATCTGCATTAAATTAGATAAGAGTGGATCTCGTGTGTGATCGGACCAGCCCAGGTGATTGGATCAGACCTCTGTTATTGTTATAATTTGTTGTTGATGTTTGTGCGAGGATTGAGCCCTCAAAAGGCCCCTTTGGGTCCATCTCCTCCAAAAAGTCTGCTTGAATGGCCACTCGAATGTTTTCCATCGCTTGTCCCTAGTATGCCTGCAGGGCGGGGGCTGTGCCCTGTCTGCATCTCTCGTTTCTCAGGGTCCAGATGGTCCATATTAGTGCAGCTCTCACAGTTTCCATTGCAGGCTGATTCTCGGGTTGCAGTCTGCTGGCCCTCGTCAGGGTTCCCAGGAGAATGAGCACCTCATCCGTTTCTGTTACTCCCAACGGGGTGTGCTCAGCTATTTGGGTCCACCACGTCCAGTAGGCTCGGACTACCGGACATTGCACAAATAGGTGGGGTATGGTCTCCACCTCTCCACATCCTGCCGCACACTGTTGCTCCTTGTGACAGCTTCTGAGTGCCAACTATTGTGCTGTTGGGATGGCCAGATGATAGAATTGCCATAGCAAACTAGCCTGCTTTTTCTGATCCGACAGTGCCGCCATAAGAGCACATTGCACGTTCCACTTACGCTGAGTCATCTTTCATAATAAACGTCTGGAAGCCAGTCTCTCTTGGCCCAGCAACTCTCGAGTTCCGCACAGATGTCCCGTGGCTCGAGCAGGGAGTTATAGATGCTCTTGTTCGTCATCTGCTGCAGCGGGGTCATTCTCTTATGCACCCTCTGAGGAGGCCATTCCCAGTCCCGCACGTCCCAGTTTAAGTCTCACCGCCGGTGCGCCAGTCTGTATGGGCAGTATTGGCCTTCTTCCTTGGTCCCTCGCTGGCATACCCGCTACACTCTCCACACCACTCCTCGATATTCGTCTTTGGGGGGCCAGCGACATCCGCAGGGGTTTGCCCATCCCCTCATATCCCGATTCAACGTACCACGCAGTGACTTCCAACCACTCTTCCTGGGTGGGGCTGTTCCACTCGATAAACCATGGCTGGGCTGGTGACTCCTGTAATTCGCACCCATTCTCCTTGTGCCACCTCGTCCTTTCTCAGCCGATCTATCCATTGCGAGGGAATAGCCTCTCTAAGCTCTCTCACCCATTGCATTCTCTATGCCTTCCAGGCGAGCGGTGTGTGCGCCAGTCTTTACAATCCTCATCCCATAGGTGACCCACTTTGAATACCCCACGCTCTAACCACTTCCATCCGAATGCTCCCCACCGGCCCCGCCATGGGAAGAGGTCACCCTCTTCGTCGCATATGAATCTGTTGTCAAACAACAGCTGGTTAAACACTGCGTCAGCAGATGCTGGAATTTGGCACATCAGCTGCACCTTTTTCCACAAAGCCAATTTGGTGGACCACACAGTGCCTCTGCGAACATGACCTATCAAGGAGCTACTCAGCAGGCATAGTTCCACCATCTCCTCCAGGACCTGCAGTGTGTGTGCCAGCTGGGCTCGTGTCACTTCTTGCCATGTGTCCCCTATCGTCCCCAGCAGGACCCAGATTAACTGGCGAAGTTGGCAGGCTATGATCTGGAGCCTTGGGTCCAAAAGTCCCAATCCCCCAAACCGTCTTGGCTGAATCAACTTGTCCCGTGCCACTCTGCAGATTGAGTCTTCAGCAGCTGCATTGTTCGACCACAAGTCGGTGTGAATCGCATGTTGATGTACCGGAAGGTTCGTTACCCAGCATATGCGCTGCTCCCGCATACCACAGTGTTGCCAACACCGAGTTTTTCACTACAAATGCCTTGCTGAACACCCCCATGCTTCCTTTTGCACTCCAGACCTTGAGCCAGGCCACTGCTGCGACTGCGCGTATCGCCATCTGTTCTACCCCCCCGTAGCTTGGGGTCAGATTTGCCCCTAAAAAAGCCACTCTTTCCCCTTTCTCGACGGTCGATATACCCCATCCCTCCAGCGGATCCACACCCAGGGGGGCATGACCACTTTCGATTTCTGCCAGTTAACTCGTGGCCCAGAGTACTTGCAGAATACACCCAGATCCTCTTTAAGCAGTCCCAGCTGCTGGACCGTCGGCGGGATGACTGCACCCGTGTCATCCGCGAAGGCCGTCGTCTGCAGCATTTTTTATCATGTCTTCAGGCCCTCCAACCTATCATCCGCTCTTAGTACTTCATGCAGCAATTCGATATAGATGACATAGAGGGCGGGGGACAGTGAGTAGCCCTGCCTAACTGACCTTGTGACCCTCAGGCTGTCCGATCTTACCCTGTTATGAACTTGGTTGTCTGACGAATTTTCTCGCCACTCACACACAGACAGTCTCACACATGCCCATACATGCATAAGAGAAGGGGAGAGAGGAGACAGAGTCCAAACTGCACACAGATGAAGATAAGCAGCAGAAGACAATCATGCACAGCTGGAGAGAAGGCACACAGTGTTTCTCAGTCTCTGACACAACTCCCAACAACCAATCACAAGAAAGAACCTGCGAAGATCACACTTGAAAATGTCACTGATGATGAGCCACTCACACACAATTATCGTAACAGAGTTGGTTCCAGTATCTCGCCACCCTCAGAACTCACACCCCACTCTCTATCCTACACCCAGTTAGTAGCGCCATATCAGAACAGCCTAACAGAGGCCAGCGCCAACCACCCTGATGAAGAACAGGTCCTGCGATGAAGTCTTCAGTGCCGATGGACAACTCTGACGAAGGAACTGGCAGCTATGGCTGCCACCACCCACGAACAACCACTGTAGAGCCTCGATACCGCCCGGCCGTACGCAGATACCCCCAGGGGTAGATGCGCTGAGGATGCCCCAGCTGTGGCAGACTCAGAGAGGGCCGGCTATGGCTGCTGTCACGGTGCGTCTCAGAATGCCGCCTGCAGACCAACACCGCCACCAACTTGCTTGGCTTCTCCAACACTTCTTCGCGAGAAATGAACTGCCAAAAGTCCTAAACCTACTCGGCCTGTCCTCTTTCTAGATTCTACCCTAGACCTACTGGACCGAAACTGCTCTAC